CACAAAATTATTGTGCCCATTTCCTAGCAAACAAGCCTTAGTGTCCAGCCTTTTTCCTTTAGCAGTTCACCGTACAAAAGCTTTGCTCCGCCATGTCTTTTGAATTGGATTTCCTGTTGGCATAAGGATCAATAATTTAATTAGCTAGATCACTCTTATTTTTTCTAAATAAATGTTTTTTCTTTGTTGATTTTAGAGAGGGAGGGAGGAAGAAGGAGAGAGAGATAGGGAAATTGATGAGAGAGAACACTGATTGGCTGTCTCCTGCATGCCCCTCACTGGGGATTGGGCCCACAACCCAGGCGTGTGCCCCAACCGGGAATTGAACTGGCGACCACTTGGTGCATGGGTTGATGCTCAACCAGTGAGCCACACCAGCCAGGCTGGACCACTCTTAAATGTTCTATGGGATTATATAACTTTCATCCAGGTCATACTAGTGTGATGTTGGAGAGTGATGGATGGCAAACAATTGCAATCTCCAACAGGGCTGGTGCAAGGGTTGGTCTTTCAGTATCCTTTCTGCTATGCTGTTGGATGGCAAAATATAATGTCTTTAATGAATAAGTGCAATTGAGGCATATCATTATCAACTAATGAGGTAGACAACTTGAAAACAATCATAATATCATATTTGGACTTTTTGAGATATAAAGTTAAATTACTTTTATAGATTCAGTAAATAAAGCATTTAAGAAAAGATGCCTTGACTTCTGTTACACAATTGATTTCTAGTTTTTTGTGGGTGTTTTTCCCCCTCTAAGAATAACACGTTTTTTCCTTCCTGGAGTTACTTGTTTCTTTAATATTTGGGTTATGAACATGTCATCAGTACATTCAAGTATAAGCTATCATTTCCTCCTGTGATATTATATTTGCACACTAGGTTTTGATGTTTCTGTCAGATATACCCAGCAATCACTATAACTTATATTCTTGAATTTTTAATACCACTCCACAGAAATGACAAATACCTTATGCTTTAGCGAATACACAAAAATGAAATAAAAGTTGTTAAGTAAGAAAAAAAGCGTTGAAATATTCCCTCAGTTTTATTTTCATCTCATTAAAAAAAACATGTTGATGTTTTTTGCTTTTTGTTTTTTTTTTCATTACCCTGTCTCACAGCCATGGTATTTGCCACAGATTTTTAAAAATAAAAATGATAAATTTTAAATTAGTTTTCATAAAAAGCATCATAGGCAAAATGGCTCATATGTATTTTTTATGTTAATACAAAAAAATTATTCTCTTTAACAAACTGTAGTTTTTCATCTTCTCTTTCAAAAGATATAAAATAACTCATTGTGGTTTTAATGTGCATTTTTCTGATGATTAATGAGACTGAGCATCTTCACATATGTCTATAGGCCAGCTGTATGTTCTCCTTGGAAAAGTGTCTACTCGATTCTTTTGCCCATTTTTAATTGGATTGTTTGTTTCTTTTGGTATTGAGTTTTATAAGTTTTTTATACATTTTGAATAATAACCCCTTATCAGATGCATCATTGGTGAATATCTTCTCCCATTCAGTGGATTGTCTTTTTATTTTGTTGATGGTTTCCTTTGCTGTGGAGATTGATGACATTTGTTTATTTTTTTCTTTTGTTTCCCTTGCCAGAGGAGATATATCAGAAAAAATACTGCTGAGACATGTCTGATATTTTACTGCCTGTTTCCTTCTAGAATTTTTATGATTTCAAAGACTATCATTTAAGTCTTTAATCCATTTTAAGTTTATTCTTGTGTACCATATGAGAAGGTAGTCTAGTTTTATTTTTTTGCATGTATCTGTCCAATTTTGCCAACAGTGTTTATTGAATAGACTATCTTTAGTTCATTGTATGTTTTTGCCTCCTTTGTTAAATATTAATTGACTGTAAAGGTGTGGGTTTATTTCTGGGCTCTCTATTCCGTTCCATTGATCTATTTATCTGTTTTTATGCCAGTACCATGCTGTTTGGATTACTATAGCTTTGTAGTATAGTTTATATCAGGTAGTGTGACTCTTCCAACTTTGTTCTTCTTTCTCAAGATCTTTGTTGCTATTTGGGATCTTTGTGGTTTCATACATATTTTTGAAACATTTGTTTTAGTTTTGTAAATACTCCATTGGTATATTGATAAGAATTGCATTAAATCTGTAGATTGCTTTGGGTAGTATAGGCACTTTAATGATGTTAATTCTTTCTATCCATGAACATGGTATATGCTTCCGTTTATTTATATCTTCCTCAGTTTCTTTCTTCAGTGTCTTACAATTTTCTGAGTGAAAAGAAATAAAATTTTACCCTTTACGACAGCATGGAGGGAGCTGGAGAACATTATGGTAAGTGAAATAAGCCAGTCAGAGAAAGACAAGTACCATATGATTTCATCCATTTGTGGAATTTAGTGAACAAACCGAACTGCCAAGCAAAATAGAGGCAGACTTATAAAGAGAAGGCAGATAGCTCTGGGGAAAGAGGGTGGAGTGCTGTTGGGGTAGGTGGAGGGATTGAGAAAAAAAGAGAGAGAATTCATGGATGTGGACAATAGTGCGGTGATTGCTTCGGAAGGGAAAGAGAGGTGGATGGAGGTAGAAGAGGACATACAGGGGATAAATGCTGATGGAAAAAAACAATAAATTTTTTAAAAAAAGATATAAATTAAAATAATAGTCAATTCCTCTGTTCCAAATAATGGTGAACAAATCTCTAATTCATTCAGGCTAGAACTCCTTCCTTAATTCCTCCTTTTAATGCAAAGACAATCTTAGCTTCACTAAAAGGGTGATACTGTGTTCCCTTAATACCCAGCATAGTTCCATGCCTGCTGAAAGAATAGGTTTTCAGTAAATGTACATCATAATAAACATACGCTCCTCAAATAAACACATATATTGTATGGTGGTCTTGTTTTCCCATTCAATATAACCCATTGATGTAGCTCAGTTATGTGTTCAAATTAACTAAACTAGGTTCTGATACTTAATACAAAAACATTTCACAACTTTGATAAATGTACTTTTAATTTCATTATTGATTCCAGTGCTTTAGCAAAGATACAAAGGGTAAGAAAAGTTGCTAAATAAGAAAAAAGCATTAAAATATTCTCCCAATTTTCATTTCGATGCCATTAACAAGAAATGGGGAAAAAACGTTGCCTTTTTTTCCTCCAGAAATTTAATTATTTTTTAAAGCTGTATATATAAATATAATTAGGCCATAAACTTAGGTGGGCAAATACGTTTATTCTATTCATTTCTATCTATTAGCTCCCGTTCATGAGCAACAATAAATTTAACATGTTTTCTCGTCCTCTGCTTATTCTCTCATCACATCGTGATTTAGTCAGTTTCGACTTTCTTGGTGTTTACTTTGTGTTTTTAGGCCTGATTGATCTAGCAAGTTTAAATTATAGACAATCAGTGAAATGACTTTACTTCCCCCTACTTTGTTAGTTGTTCATTTTTACATTGTCCCATAACTTTTTTTCTCATTATGTTCTATCCCCACATTTGTTTAATCTTAGTTCTGTAATTAAATGCATTCACCAAATAACTTTTTGTCAAAATTTTCCTAGTCATCTCTTGGCTGACTTAAGTTCACCCTCAATTTTAAGAAGAGTTCATGGGAAATATATAAGCTGAACTCTTGTTTGATTAACATCAGTAACCTTTATCTAGTTTGGTTTATCTAAATATATTTGTACATCATGTTTTTGTACATCAGGCTGATATTTTTTTCTTTATCCTGTCTTCACATATTTTGCTTGCAAACAGTTTTGGTGTTTGTTTGTTTGTTTGTTTTTTTCTTTATCCTTAAAATTCATTAAAGTTAACTTCATTAACTTTAATAAGCTATAAATAAAATTAACCATTCTAGGTTAATTCTTCCAAATCTCTCACAAAATGTTGCATTTTTTCAAATAAGTACATTCAAATCAGTTTTTATTTTATCAAAATCGTCTAGAATTATAACTTTTAAAATAGTTTTTCTATTGTTTTGCTTTTCTTTTTTGGAAGCTCACTTTGGTTATGATAGAACTGTTTGTCTAATTATTATAGTTATCATTTTTCCCTAAACTATTTTAAATTGTTTTTTTTTTTTCAGTTTTGTTTATTTTTTCTCAAATCTATCCTTTGCCCCTTGATGGTTTCTAGATATTTTCCTGGCTTCCTTGCATTCCTTCCAAATTCTTCTATTTGTGTGTGTGTGTGTGTTATTTTTCTTTTCTAATTATTTTCTGACTTCAGCAAGCTCATTTTTTCACTCTGTTATTATCAAGCTATATAAGTTCTATTCCTGCATTTCTACTTGGTAATTTTCTATCTTATGGGGTATTATTTTATTAAGTTTTTATTGTTTTATTTATTTATTCACTTGTTTCATAGTCTTTTAGAATTAAAATTTATTTACAGAGAATTGATTATCAGAAATATTGTATTACTGTTTCTCAAATTTTATAATTTTCTTTAAACTACTTTGTAATTTTCTTTATTTAATACACAGTTACACACACACATGCATGCATATAATTTTTCCTATATATTTTGTATTTCATGTCTGACCAATTAACATTTTTATTAAAGTATGAAAGTAACCAATTTCTTTAGAAAAGTATTCATACTTTTTCAATTATTTTATAGGGTTTTTTTTTAATACCATTTTTCTCTAGGTGAAAAATATTGTTTTACTTACTTTTTTTTCTTGAGATTTCTCTTTGTTTTAAAATAAAAAAGTGCAATATTCTTGTTCATTTTATTTTAAATAATATAAAGTTCATTAAATATATCTCTTAACAAAACAATATAACTAGTGATGTGAATAAATTGATCTTATCCTTATTCTTGATATGGTTAGAAATATTAATTGTTTTAGGATATGATACAGAAATTATATACTTAAGTATTTGATGACTCATATCACAAATGGTTTCACTATGCAGCCCCCAGATTCTACATTGATGGTAGTTATTTTTTTAGACCAAAATATCTAATGTTGTTATTTATATTTTAGGTTAGTGGGATGGTTTGGTCATGAACTCAGCACCAGATTTAAAATGGATAACAGTAAGTGCACTCCGTTTTACTTTACAAGTCATTTTTAGTTTAACTTCATTTCTGTTGTCATTGATCTTTGTATGATATGTAGTATATATGCCTTATGGAGAGCTTCCTTTGAAAATGCCACTGAGAATTTTTCAAATAAGAAGTGACATTTCCAGAGTGTAAGACTCAGTGTTTATAGATTTTAGCAGGACTTTAGTCTGTCCCTTTGTAGGGAGATAAGAGGAACCGGAAAGGACTCAGATCTCATCGATATGGAGTTCCTGAAACTTCAGGCAGCGGGGACAGGAGGAATTTGGGGCCTGGCGTCAGATCCAGGAGACTTTGGTGTCAATCCCATTTTTCTGCTTAATACTTTGGGGATGCTTCACGAGTTATATCATCTTGAACTTGTTTCTTCTTGCTTATTTAATGTGAATAATATCTATTTCAGGATTTGGTCTGAGAGTAAAACAAGTTCAAACCAAGCAGCAAACAGCAGTGTTGTTGAAGAAATGTTCATTTTAACTCCTCTGCTCCCAAATTTGCCTCCTTTTGCAGCTTTTGCCACTTACTAAACAGAGGCAGTAAAATCTCAGCAGGTAGAAGTGAAAGTATACCACGCGCCCAATTGCCCTGCTTCTTTTCCTCAATGACTGTATTCTTTTTTTTTTAATTAATTAATTTATTTTTGTTACAGATGCTTCTCCTTTTTCACCCACTGATCCCCCCTCCCTCCCCGCCCTATCCCCAGCTTTGTTGTCCATGTCCATTGTTCATGCACACATGCATATAAGTTCTGTGGTTTATCTCTCCCCCAATATGCTCAATTAATATTTGACAAAGGTGGCAAGAGCATACAGTGGAGTAATGACTGTATTCTTTAATCACAAGGAATACAGAAAGCTTCGTAAATGTTGTGAGTTCCACTTAAACAAACTTGATCATTCAAGTTGCTTTCAACCCTGAGATTGCATTTTCAGCAGAATCATGTTTGCGAGCACCAAAATGAAAGGATCAAGGTGGTCTCTTCCAGTCAAATCAGGAAACCAGTATTTCCTCAAGGCTGCTGAAATAATTAGTTCTGTTATTATTCTAGTTACTTAAATTTTTGTGATGGGCTTCTTCTTATCTGTAAGTGACGGAATTGGATTATATGAGGGAGCAGAGTTTTTCTGTGAAGGGCAGGCAGGAGATATTTTAAGCTTTTCAGTCTGTACTGTTGCTCTGCCATTGTAGTGCTACAGTAGTCATAGATATACGTAAATGAATGAGTGTGGCTGTGTTCCAATAAAACTTTATTTATAAAAGTAAGTGCTGGGCCACGTTTGGCCCACAGGACATACATAGTTTGCCTAATTCTGGATTAGATGGATCTCTAAATACCCAGAATACTCTAAAGTTCTTTTCGTCCGTCTTAATTTGGTCTCTAGCTAGCAATCTTAGATGTATTAGATTTAACTTTTTATTATTCCATTTAATTAATTCTAATTAGACTATCTGGTATTAATTCACCTTTTTAAATATATCATACTTAGGCAGATTCTTTTTTTTAAACTTCCCATTTTTTTTCCCTAAGAGAAGGCACTTGACTTAGTGCTAAAAGTCGCCTGCATGGGTTATTTCATTTCCTATGTCTGCTTTTGGGCAGCATTATGATTACAAGCCTTTTAAATCCTGATGTTTTCCTCTCGTTAACATGTTTTCATAGAAGCAAAACAAAGCGTGGAGCAGAGCAAGGAAGGCGGGCTTGGAGATGGCAGACGATGGGGTTCAGAGAAGCCTCTAAAAAAAGGCCATTTTTCTCTTGTGTCTGAGGGCGCTAGTGTTTGGTAGGCTGCTAAGAAGGTGGGGGCAGGGGAGACAGACATGGAGGTGAAGGGGAAATGTTTGTTAGGTCCACAGATTTGCTCTTAAATATCTCAGAAATCTTTGGAGTAAAATTTTAAAAATCTTATTCTTTTTCTCTCTACTACTTTACTGTTGTTAAAAAATCCATAAAGAACATTTTAATGATATTATTCTATAAAAATGACATTATATAATTTTTCAGAATTGCAGTTAATCCCTGGGGCCAATGGATTTAGAATTTCAAATCCTCCCATATTGTTGGTCTGTCCCTTACAGGCTAGTTTAGAGGTAAGTGATCTATGCTTCAACCTGCCCATGTCTTTAACCTTTTCCTTTACCTGACTGTGATATGTTGTAGTATTTCCTCTGCTAATCAGCAAGGTTATAAATGTGCACTGTGCACAGGCGTTGTGCCCAGGGTCGTGTTCTTCTTTGGGACAGTGACCGTCTGTGTCTTTTATGTATATCTCCAGCTCCTAGCAGAATGCTTAGCACATTATTGGCATTTAATTAATGTTAAACGGAACACACCTGGGGAGATGTATTTTTAGTTCCAATTAGAATTTTTGTGAATTTGAATGAGCTATTTAATTTTCTGTTGGTCTCCCTATGTACAAAATAAACATTCAGTATTTAATTCTAAATTAATTAAATCACTCAACAGTTAGGTATTACGAGAGTACTGTGTGCCAGACCAGCTGTGATTACCGGGGACTCGATTCTTCTAGTTCTGCCGATCTATGAACTCATAACATGCATGTGAGAAAGCTGCAGGAAGACTAACCTTAAGGAGGGAAAATTTAAAAAATATATATGAATAGTCAGAGTAAAACAAAGATTTGGTAAGGTTGTTTCATGAGGTAGGGTGAATTTTGTTAAAACTGGGGCTTCTATGCCGTTATATCCATGTATAATCTCTGCACTTACTGGCTAAATATTTTTCTTTAAATTTGTACAGGTTTTTACTTAAAATAAAGTTAGTCTTACCCTAAATAATAATATTCAAGGAATCAATTTGTTTTCTTAGACACGTATCTATCATCTATTTCTATATCCATCTACCTATATATTCCAATGAACTTGGAAAATATTTAATTAATTAATATGAGTTAATTTCAGAGTGAGGCAAATGTATTTAACTAAATATATTTAACATTTACATAATATATAATAGCAATATTAATAGATATATTAAGGCAATACATATTTTATATACACACTTAAGTAAAATATTTTTAATTAAGTATACACATATATTTCTATTAGAGATTTTTATTTTTTACTTTTTTTCTTTATTGATTTTAGAGGAAGGGAGAGGGAGAGAGACAGAGAAACATTGATGAAAGAGAACATCAATTGACCGCCTCCTGCATGCTCCCCACCAGGGACTGGGCCCACAATCTGGGCATGTGCCCTGACTGGGAATCGAACAGGCAACCTCTTGGTGCACGGGTGGACACTCAACCACTGAGCCACACCAGCCGGACTCTAATAGAGATTTTTAAATATATAGCTATTCAATTAAACTTTAATTTTCACAAATATTTAAAACCTCCTAAGATAATCTAGTTTATGATATTTTAGGAAATCGTGTTGTGGAGTGACTGGATAAATACTTCCAAAATCTCTTCTAAACCTAAAATTCTTGGAATCTGTGAATATTTATAGCAGTTTCTCATTTTGGCCACTGGGTGGCAGTGTCAAGTTCCTCTATTTTTATACAACTTCACTACTAGATCCTGGTAATCAACTCATTTCATTTCGTCCCAATTTAAAGAGCAGGTACTCAGTTTGACCACTAGATGGAACTTGTGCTGTTCTCACTTTTTAGCTGCTGCTGCTTTTTTTTTTTTTTTTTTAAGTTGAAATAGACCCAGTAACAAGATTTTTCAGTCAGTGATACATCTTGGGGTGGGACGGGGCGGGGGGTGGGGGGGTCTGCTTAGCAAATTAGATAATGATATAATGATATTTGAATTGTTTTTATAATATGCATTCAGAGAAAAACTTCTGTTAAATGTTTTAAAACAAAATTCTTTGCTTACCTTGCCAGTTTACATCTGGGAGAAGATGAGTGACACTATTTAAAAAAGGCACCAGGGCATACCTCAGAAAAAACGATTTCAATGTATTTCCTCCTATTTTTCGTATTTTTGTAAATGACCTCTCAGCTGTAGCTAGAAGTTTCCTTTAGACACTCCACTTCGGTGTTTTGTGTGCAGTGGGCAGGATCTTCCAGTGCCCACCCCTTCCGCATGGATTCAGATTCTTATTTTCTTTACTGCTTGTTCCTGTCACCGTGTATTATAGTCACCTGGACAAGTGTTTCTTCTCAGCTGGAATTGGAATACTGACTTATCTCCTCCTTTAGTATCTAAATGTGAATCTAGCAAAGGGACCATCGAGCCATCAGAGGGGTACACACAGTGCTCTGGAGCTTCCTATCACATGTTTCTTTGGAATCTTCCAAGTACTAACTTGAAATTAAAAATATTTATATTGTATTTTGAAAGGTCATATTTGTATGTAGTAATAGGTAAACAAAGTGTAGACCCTTTCAATATGTAAGTTTAAAATGAAATAAATAGCTTCAAAATAAAAATTAGAGTGTTCAAATAAAATGCATGGCACCTCAGAAGAAATTGACTTTGTGTTTCTTCAGGAAGTCATCGGGGAACCATTTTTAAGAATTTAGGAGAAAAAAAAATGACAATTGAAAATATCATGCTATGCTTACTTTCCCTATTTAAACTTATCTAACTTTTCTAACTTTGAATTCATTTTACCCAGGAAAAATCACCCAGGTAGTTTCAACTCAGCCAAGAACTCTGAGTATTTTCAAACTACACTTTTTTTTTTTTTTTTTCTATTTAAAAAAAAAATTATTCTCTCTCAATACTAAAAACACAGAAATAATGAGAAGCCAAGAAGAAAAGATGATTTTTCTTTCATTTCCCTGCTAATTCTTATTAGCCTCTCTATGTTCTTATATGAGTTTTCAGCAAAGATTTTTACAGGTGCCTCAAAATGCATCTGCCCTTGCTGTGGTAGGAAGGTGGTAAATAGTTTTAGATTTAAGTTATTTTATTGTTAACTAAGAGAAACAACATGTTAAACTTGAGATATTTGTCATAGAAATTGGTTTCTAATTACCAAGAAAAATTTGCAAGAGCAAAACCCTCTGTAAAAAAACTATGAACATAAGTAATACTCCCCAAAGTCTTTCTATGAACACAAACGAAACATCATTAAAAGGACCACTTCACACCTTGCCCAGCTGCATCTTAGAAGGCACATATCAGAACCAGAACATTTTCTAGAATGATTTATTAAATGAAATTTCTTCAAATAATTATCAGTCTCCAAAGAGAAGCTTGGAAAGATACTTCCCATATTTGTGAATTCCAAACCTGATCGTCAAAACCCCGCTGGGCTGTGCCTTGCCCTGTGAGAATGCTGTTCTCAAAGCGGGCTCACTGTTCCAGAACTGGGAGGTGTTCCCTGGCGTCCTCATTGTCCATATGTAGTACATTTTGTTTCACAGGAGAAAATGAAGAGACACCTCCTACCAAACTCAACATAACTGGGCTTACTTGAGTTCTAATGACCTACAGTAGTTCCCCCCTTATCTGCAGGGGATACGTTTTAAGTCCCCAGTGGATGCCTGAAACCACAGAGAGTACCAAACCCTCTATATGCTATGTTTTTCCATATGACGGAGAGCAACTGCAACCATGGACAACATATAGATAGATAGATAGATAGATAGATAGATAGATAGATAGATAGATAGATAGATAGATATAGATATAGATATCTGATATATATATATAGATATATATATCAGATCGGTATAGATTGTTTTGCTGTATTTCTTTTTAGATCATTGTTTGTAATGAAGAAAAGGTTGGAAGCAAAAACAAAAACAAATATAACTCCCTTCTCCTTCAGCCAAATCTAGAGCCTCCGTGCAATAAAAGTGACACAAATTTATGCCTAAATTGTTGAGTCCTATGAGAATGCCTGCCGCCACATGTACATATATACAGAAATACGTGTTTTCAGACCTTAGAAAGTTCAGATGCCAGTGAATGGCCCTGTCTTTGCTTTGTGACAGAACGTGATACAGTGAAGCGACAGCAAGTGGCAAGTCAGTGCATCACACTCTGAAGTTCATGCAGCTCTTATATGTAGGATATATTTTTAAACTCTACTTGACCTTAAGAGATAAGCTGGAAAAGCATGTCTGTTCTGACCTCTAATGTTCCCACACCAGCTATTGTGTGCCCTTGTCACTCATCTTAATATAAGACACCTCAGGCAGGACACTGCAGGATTTTCAGACCATGCTGGAGTGTAATGGGGGGGGGGGGTGATGAAAGAAGAAAAATGGGTGGGGGAAAGAAAAGAAAGGGAAAAAGCAAAGCCCAATACTTCTGTACTAATAAATATATTATCTAATACTTCTGCTTCTCTGTCTGATAAAATGCGCTTGTTTTCTTACTGTTAAATGGGATGAGATTTGGGAATTGGCCAAACAATGGTAAATAATATCTGTAACACTGCCTTCCACACAGGCAGGTGCATTGAGATCTTATTGTTTTGTTTTGTGGACCAAAGCTTATATCAGAATGGAAAAAAAAATATGCCTTCTGGATTATGATGGTGAAAAAATGGTTTTGGAGAAAGTGTTTGAATTTTATGATATTGAAATGCCTTTATTTAAGGGATACTTGAAATTAATTATACTAAGCTAGTTTAAAATAACTCTGAAGGAACATTATATTACTTTTTCAAGTATTGTTTAAATGACATTTTCACAGTTTTCCTGATATGGAAACTTCGCATTCGGTTTTTAATAGCAAAGGATTTAATAAAAGAACATGTTTTCACAGAAAGACTGTTTAAAGTGAGATAATTTTTGGAGAGGTTAAAAGTGGTCATTTCTTTTTTATGCATGATTTACCGTTAATTTTTGCTTCTCTATAAATCGACAACACGTCATTAATCCGACTGTTTCGCATTCCACAGATCTTTAACAAAGCAACCATGAAAGCACTAAGAAGGAAATCTGTTTTGCTAACTGGTTACCTGGAATACCTGCTCAAGCATTACTATGGCAAAGATAAAGCCGAAACCAAGAAACCAGTTGTGACCATAATTACTCCATCCCACATCGAGAGCCGTGGCTGCCAGCTCACACTAACATTTTCTGTGCCAATAAAATATGTATTTCAAGAACTGGAAAAAAGAGGAGTGATGGTAAGTACATCTCTTGCTTTGCCACCAAGTCTTCCCTATGGGGTGCATTTTAGGGATAACATTTGGATTCCTTAGTTTATTCACTGATGCATGTTATTTTACACCATCAGTTAGTTAGTGAGGATAAATTAAGTGCTAACTAAGTAAGCATTCAGTACTTGCTAATTAAAGGGCACAGGGATCTGTCATTTCTAGTAAAAAGAAGAAACCACAAATTTTGGATACAAAAAACAATTTTGTGTCATTCACTTTTATTACAGTTTGAACAGCAAATGTGTTTCATCATAATTAGAACATGGTTTCACTAGTCTTTTACTAGCAAAAGCCCCAGTACATATTTATTGAATAAATAGAATTAAAGAACATGTCAATATGATGAAGGAGGGGAAAGAAAGTCAATCTTATTTTGTTGTTTGATTATGTTATTTTCAGCCTTGTCACTCAAGTCATAATAGATCCATAGACACATATGAGGAGTGTTAACATTGAATGAAATCATTTTTTAACCACTGGGCCAAAGTGGCCTTCTTAGCCGCTTGAAAGGAGCTAATAAGTGTTAATAGAATAATTTCAGGGAAAAACGGTGATGATATAATTTGGGACCTGCTCCACTCACATGGTCCTCCACAAGTTTAGAAGAGGTCCCAGAGGATCCTGGAGGTGCAAATCAGAATATGGCATTGCAAATCGATCCTTACTGTGTCCAAGTTCATGCTCTTGGGAAAATCAGTTGATGTCCATGTGCCTGAGATGTCTCATCTGTTTTTTGGGTGCAGATATACTTACTTCAAAAGTTGTTATGGGAATTAAATGGACCCACACCCATGAACCATGTACTATGCTGTCTAGCTAGAGTGGGTGTTCCTTAAGAGAGTCATAGTGATCTTCAGACTAGGTCACATCATCTGGTCCCATTTCATAACATTTCCGCATTCCCATTGTAAACTAACATTTGTTTTAGACTGTAATAAATAATAAAAATATGTAGTCGAGCAAAAGGAGATTTAGCCTGGGGACACAAGTTCAGGTGGCAAGCTAAATTGTGTCCCCAACCCCAGACAAAGGGGAGGCCACCTTTTACAGTGAAAGTTCCCACCCAGGTTTTCAATTACGTCTATTCTATACGAGCGAGCTACCCAAATTGTGCAGTTCTGATTGGATGGGACAGATGGCAGTCTGCTGGAAGAAAGATGTAACCACGGTTTCCCCACTGGTGTTGACCCCAATAGCACACACAGGCTCCGGGAAGCCAAGAGCTCAATCTGAGGGCCTTTGTCAGTGGATGGAGTACGTGAGGGGCCCTGTCAGCTCATGGCCACTAGACTCTTCTTATTCATAAAATTTGGTCCTTGGTTGACCAGAGGGAGTCCATCTCAGCAGATCAATTCTTCCTCAGGGTTCACATCTAACGGATCTTCTCCAGGTCCATTCCAGGAATATAGCAGCTCCTGACCTGCAGTCTATTAGGGACTAGAGAACTGAATGTAAGGATAATTTACTGAAACTCTCCAGAACAGTGTGAGGCTCTTTCATTTCCATGTGTCCAAAATTCTAGGCTCGCCAGGGCCTCCCACAGGCAAATCATACGTATGTTCTACTGAATGCTTCCAGATTGCTGCCAGGTGGACTTCAGAAAAGTGCTTTTGGATATTCATGGAACAGCCCACTGATGTTTGAATTCTAATTAAGAAGAGAGTTACCAATAACGTCGAAACCCTATATTTTAATTAAAGAGAAAAACTGCTTATATATATATCGAGTTTTAGGGAAATCAGCATGACTGTTTCATGTGCGTTTATCTTGACTGCAGATTTTTATTACGAGAATAATGCTGACATGCTTGTGGCTTTATTTCCCCCCACAGTGTGACAAGCGGGAACCGAGTGGCATCCGAGTGGCCCCAGTCCCTCTCTACAATTCTTTCCATGATGTTTATAAATTCATCAATCTGCTCAAGTCTGCACTTGACTCTGCAGAAAGAAAACATAGCAGTGTTTAGAACAAATTAAGCAAACAATACTGAAAGCTGCTGTGATTATTTTATTATTTTTATGCAAGCTTCTATAATTGGAAGTATTTGAAAACCAATTACACATAGCTGCAATGAATTATATACTTTATTTTAAAAATCTGATATAATTACCACACGAGTCAATGTCCCTGAGGAATCTATACCGCTGTTCAATTCCTTGGTGTTTTGTGGCTCTGGGTCTTCACTGGTCTAAAATATTGTGTACACAGTCTTGGTTAACTGTTACATTTCATAGTGAAATCTTTTTATTGATTTAATGTATCATTGACTGAAAATTTCATAACATATGTGTGATTGTGTGTCAATTTTCTAAACATTACTTTAGTTTTAATTTCCCAAAGAATTTCTTATAAGCACTATAGTTGAGCAGTCTGATATGTGTAAGCTCTTGCAATATTCTATCCAGCTCCGCTCTAAGGAGCAGAAAATATGTTTTCTAGGGCAATGGACTTCAAATATCTTTGGCCAAAATACACACTAAGAAATATGTCTAATAACAAAGACCTGTATTTATGTGGGTATGTGCTTTACTTTAGTTTAATAGAACAGTTTTAATAATATTTTAACATCTGTGAAAGAAAAGTCTTTCAATTTTCAAACAACTGCTTCTTGCAATTGCCATTGGCCATTCTTTCCCATTACCATCCCTGATATTAGCATGCTTCTCACAATGAATAGACAGCATCTTAGATCAAATTAAAACTGGTATATGTGGTAAAAACCAAAGTTCCATATATTATTTACCTGTGCTCTGATATTTATTATTCAATTTTACCTTATTACAACAAACTCATTAAATTGATTTCTCCACTCACTCTTGGGTCCTAAATCATTTTTCCAGGATGTCCCTTTATATAATGTAATCATAACTTCTCTCTTTTTTCCAACGGGAACTTCCCCTGATAAAAGACATTGGATGTTACTCTGTCGCTAAAGTAGTGAAAAAATCACCCATGATGTTTGTGATTCAGGGTTAGAATTAGGAAATGAACATTTCATCTCTCAGCCTCTATCCCAAATCTACAGACCTTTCTTATCTGCTAGGAAAACCACAGTTGCATTCAGCCCTGTTGGGTTTCCCTTGTTTTTATCTGCTGATATCATCACCACTATTTATGGATTGATATTCTACATTTGTATTCATTCTCAGCAAGGAAGAGCGACTATGCAATAATTATTTCCCTATTGAAACAGATTTGAATGAAATTAACTTTTACAGCCACTTGGGATGTTAGCGTTAAATAAAAAGATGTAGAAGTCCAACAACACCAGCAACTACTGATGTTGATCGAGAATGCACCATGTACTGTAATACTCTTTATGCTATCTTACTTAATCGAGTGGTTGCATAACTGCTTTAGTAAAGCTTCCCACTCCAACTTTCTGCAGAATTGATCTTCACATATGGAAAAGTTCTGAAAACCTTAAACCTCAACCATATTCAACCTCATGTAGAAGAAATCATTTTTTAACTTCACCATGGTAAACAAAACAGACTTGGTTTCAGCTCTCATGGAACATGTAGCTTCGTGGGGGAAATAGATACTAAACATAAACATCCAGGTAAATCTATAATTACGAACTGTAACCTCTATAAAAGACAAACAGATGATACTATGAAAGAAAAATCTCAGTGGTATTAGGCAGTTGAGTAAGGGAAGGTGTATGAAGGTACTTATAAGCTTAAGTTCTAAAATATTTTATGCTAATCATATTGAAATTACATCCAATTATATATATAAACAATTTAAAGCATAATCAGCACTATATCCTTATTACCAGATTAAGAAACAGAACATTAAAAATTCCTCTCTTCTAGTCTACATTTGCCTCCCTCCCCTGATCCAGAGATAATTATTTAATTATGTTTTGCATTAACCATTTCCTTATTTTCTTTAATTTTACACCTTATTATTTTAAAAGGCTTGTTTTTTTGCCTGGCCAGTGTGGCTCAGTGTATTGAGCATTGTCTCATGGACTGAGAGGTTCTGGTTTGATTTCTGGTCAGGGAATATGCCCGGGTTATGGGCTTGATTTTCAGTAGGGGGAATGCAGGAGTCAGCTGATAATTTCTCTTAAAAAAAAAAATCAATAAAAAGATATTTTTTAAAAAATGGTTTCCCCAGCCAGTGTGGCTCAGTGACTGAGCATCGACCCATGCACCAAGAGGTCGCCCATTCAATACCCAGTCAGGGTACCCTCTCCCTTCCTCTCTCTCTCTCTTTCAAACCAATAAAGAAAAAAAATTTTTTAACTAAAATAAAAGTGGCTTATTTGTTGTTGATCTTTTTTTTCTGCTAATTCCCCACAAAATTCTAAATTGTCAAGAAATGTTTTATGACTAATAAACAAAAATATGATGCACTTCTTGCTTTCTTAAATAGAATATGTAAACAATTGATTACCTTTCTCAATAACTTGAGCACATTTATATAAACACCAATCCTTTTATAGTGATGTCCTTGGGAGCACAGGGCTGTTTGTGTAATGCTAAGTTATACTTACCGTACAAAACGGACTGGAGAAAGGCCGGGTGCTAAGTTAATAACTTAATTACAAATTAAATAAATACATATTCTCTACAGCTATTTTGTGCTCAGTATTTTCTACTTACTCTTGAGTTCTATATGGGTTTATATTCAAATTGTGTTGTCTGTTTCATAAACTGAAGTTACAAGAGCACTGATTTTAACATGGTTTCATAATCTTAAAACAACAACCTGGAAACACTGTGTCAGCATCACATCATAAAGCACAACATGGAAACCACTAGACTAGGGGACCCTGTTACTGAGATCATGGATTTGTTACTTGTATCGGCTAATATTATGGGGTTATGTGTTTGAGAAAGATACATTATATGCTTCCTTCCCTCTAGTAATGTTATTTTTAATCTCAGCAAGATGTACTCTCAAAGAACAAAATAATACAAGTTTCATTATAAGCTAATTAATTTACACATTTCTGATGTGATTTTAGTTTGTTGCAATTATTATTTTTATTAATGTTCCAGTTTTTCCATTTTTAACTCTTTAAGGTGGCTCGTGAGTCCCAGAGAGTATCTCAACTGCATTTTGATAGCTTTATTGCTTTTAGGTTGACAAGATATCAGCTTACTTTGTATATTTTCTACCTTGAACTTGACATCATTCAATTTTCTAACAATATCCAGTTCCTTTTGAATGAAAATGGTATTAGAAACCATAATCTTAACAGTAAGAATGCTCATTGTAATTGGGTTGATCATAGTTAACAGGATTTTCAGTTAACAGATTTAGAAAATATATTGAAGAAAAATTGTATCTTTATTTTTATTCATATTTTAAATTCAATTAAAAATAACACAAATTTTTATTTTACTTAATTGATTTTTATATCTTGTAATAATATTATCAGTTATGTCATATAAGATACACTATCATTATCATATGTATACATATATAGTTTGTTTATTTACATTTTTTTTTCCTTTTTTTGATGTTAGAGAGAGAGGGAGAAAAAGAGAGAGATAAAAACATCAATGAGCCCTGGCCAGTTTTCTCAGTGGTTAGAGCGGTGGCCTATGGACCAGAGATTCCCGGGTTCAGGCCCTGCTAAGGGCATGTACTTCGGTTGTGGTTCATCCCTGGCCCCAGTTGGGGTCATGTGGGTGGGGTCATGTGTATGGCAACCACTTGATATGTCTCTCTCACATTGATGTTTCTCTCTTTTTATCCCTCTCTCTGAAAATAAATGCAAAATTGTCCTTAGATGAGAAAAAGAAACATCAGTGAGAGAGAACATTGGCCATCTCCTGCATGCCCCCCACTGGGGATCAGGCCCACAACCTGGGCATGTGCCCTGGTCAGGAATCAAACCAAGACCTCTTGGTGCATGGATCGATGCTCAAGCACTGAGCCACACCAGCCTGGCTGTATACATATATAGTTTTAGAATTAATAATACCAAAGATATTTTGAACAATGTGATTAAAAGAGTTTAAGATTTTCTGAAGGTTTTTATTTTGTCTTTAGAATACATCTTACTAGGAATAGAAAGTCAAATTACTGTGTTTTAATGGCACTTGTAACAACTCTTCTCTGTATGGTCACACAACCAATTACATATGTAATTAGGTTTAGTACTTTGGAACTTTTTTCAGTCTTTAAAATTTTTCTTTAAAAGCTTAAAATTTATTTCAGAATTGTATAAAATATTTAGGTAATTAGAACTTCAAATCTTCACAGCAAGGTATACTCAGAAAAATCTAGATTGTGTTCCTACCCCTGCACCTTATTCCCTTTCACTATTTGTGTGTAATTTAAAAAATATTTTGGTATACCTATACCTATACCTATACCTATACCTATACCTATACCTATACCTATACCTATACCTATACCTATACATATACATATAAATATATATATCTGGGCATATATGTGTGTGTGTGTGCATATGTATGCACACGTTTCTTTCGTAGATACAAGAAATACAGATAGCACATGGTAAATATATTTTTCCTCTTGTGAAAGACATTTTAAAATATATAATTACAATTAATACTTCAAGAAGGAATAATAGAATTAGAAAATAATATTTTTATAAACTTTGTTTGTTTGTTTGTTAATCCTCACCTGGGGATTTTTTTTTTTTTTTTCCAATAATTTTTAGACAGAGTGAATGGGAGAGAGGAGAGTGAGAGAGAGAAAGACAGAGAGAGAGAGAGAGAGAGAGAGAGAGAAACATTTATGTGAGAGAGACACATCAATTGGTTGCCTTCTATATCAAAAATTGTGTCCATAATTCCCTTATGATGATTTCGAAAGGAACATTATATCTTACTCTATATTTGTATACATATCTTTTCTCCCTAACTTAATATTACTTGCTTGGTGATATGGTTAATATTGTTTTTCTTGGTATGTCCTTCAGTTCTTCCCACTAAGCTTTATATACAGTTGGCCTCTTACAAGCAGGTAATTAATGAGAAATATACAGGGGTAAATGTATATGCTGTCCACATTTACCTTGAGCCACCCCCCCACACACACACATACCCTGATCTTTGACTGAAAGAGTAATTAATAGAAACTCCTTTCTGATTGAGTCTGGTTTAGACCTGAGCCCACTATAATATGTCAGAAATATGTAAAATATTTAGAATACATAACTCAATAGACACCAGTTCTCCATAAGTAGAAATTAAATTTTTATTCTTAGTTATTGTTGGAAATTCTTTTGAAGTGTTCAGAATCGAGGGCATGTAATGTACTAGTTATATCACTTACTATTATATGGCAGCCTCCTCGGCCTTAAAAAGGCCTCAAAACCCTCTCTCCATGTCTCATCCAGGCCCAGAGTGGAGAATGACTTCACTGTCTTAAATCAAATGAGGAAAATGCTTTAAAGCACAAATTCTCTTGAAAGACAAATAAACGACCTAACATTGGATTCCTGGGCCTCAGCTGAAATTTCCATCACGTATACTCACAATATTATTTTAGGTGAAGAGAACTGTTGCATTTTTGTGCCAATATTTACTAAACAGAGGTCTTAATTTTTTCTTTCCCAGTGTGTGGGAGCTTTACTTCATGCAGTTCTCCTTGCATTGTATTTTGTTAAAACAACAGGCTTGTCAAGAATGGAGACATTGCAGTGATATATAGAGTCTATGGGAGAGATTTTCTCTACGGGTTAAAGTAAGTAGTTGGATCAAAGTCAGGACATAGATGCTACAGCTGGTCTGGGGAAAAAATGGCAATTAAGAGGGGGGAAAAAAAGAACAGAAAGAGAGAATCACAGACTTTCTTTTTTTAGGTAA